CGTACGGTTTACAAGAGAACCGGGTTCAAGTCCCGGCCGAGGTAATATTTTTCGCAATAAATTTATTAACAGTTTTTAATATATTAATATCTTTGTAATATATGATGCTTGATGGTAGCATCAAATTATTAAATTGCTTGTCAATTTAATTCGCGAGGTTTAGCAGCGCGCCAAGTTTTTTTACATAACAAATTTTATTTTAATAAAATGTTCTCATTTTGTGATGCTTTGTCTTTAATTTTTTGAGATTAAATATTGTATTCCATTGCAAAATATAAAAGACTCTTGAATAGAAATATAAAGGTACGTATCATTTTGTCTCGTTAATTAAATGTTATATGTTGCAATAAAATATATGTTCTTTTCGCAATTTACAAAATACAATAGTCTATGTTATATGTTGCAAGAAATTATATTCTTTTTGCAATTGGCGTAATTTAAAGATTTGATTTCATTTTTTTTTTACACATGCGTACGTACTACTGAGGGATAATTTATAATAAAAAGTTAATATTACCACTTGAATTATATTATTTATGTAACGGTTTTTGTTTTAGTTTATGTAAAGTACACTTTTTTATGGAAGGTACATGCACACTTGGCGCATTTTTTTGTACTTTTTTTTAAAAAGGTAATTTTGTTAATAAATATTAACAGGGCATAGAACCAATATTACAACGAACAATTTTAATTAAAATAATAATATTATAAACGTTTCGACTCCGATTGGGTCATTTTCTATGCAAAACAACTTAATCATAAAAAAACGGTCACATTGGTAAAATCTTAAAAATATTTAATAAAAATAATTATAACTTATCCTAATGTAGCTAGCATAATATTATTATAACAAATCAATTTTAACATTTCCTAATAATTCAAGAACAATCTTGTCATTAATATAAGAAGAGTAAATAATCCAATGTCTTAAATAACAGTTGCATTTATGTAAAACCTCCAAGAAACGAATAAATTAATAATAAAATCTCTTGACGTCGTGAGAATAATCACGTCGTTCTATGTAAAAAGTGTAAATTGTCCAATTGAAATTCATGTTTAACTTGCAAATACGAACATATCTTTTCAGATGTACATAAAAAACCAGTTGTAACCAATTGAAATGTTTAACTTGCAAATACGAACATATCTAGGAAAAATTATGTAATATAAACAACAACCTTCAAAAGATGTAACAAAAAGTCATTTTACCTTGTCAGGTAAATATAAAAAAGTAATAGTAACAGAAAGTTAATTTACCTTGTCAGATGCAGCTGGTTGAAGTTT